TTTGGGCACATGGACCCTTAGGGAGGAGAACTTAAGACTTTAGCCTGGTTCCTAAACCCTAAACCCTAAACTCCAAACCCTAAACCCTAAGCCCTGAACCCTAAACCCTAAACCCTCAACTCCAAGGTCTAAACCCTAAATCCGAAGGGGAAAGCTCTTCGGACTTCCATCGGCTTTTGGGTTCTAATGGGTTTGTGGTTTTAGGGTTTAGGGCTTTGGAGTTTTGGGGTTCAGGGCTTTAGGGGTTTAGGGTTTTAGGGTTTAGGGCATTGGAGTTTTGGGGTTTAGGGTTCAGAGGTTTAGGAGTTTAGGGTTTAGGGCTTTGGAGTTTTAGGGTTCAGGGCTTTAGTGGTTTAGGGGTTAGGGCTTTGGAGTTTTAGGGTTTAGGGCTTAGGGGTTGGATTATGCCGTGATTCGATTGTTACATATGCCGAGTAAAGTGTGGTTCGGTTTGAGGTTTACGGCTTTAGTAAAAAGCAACAGGCCTTGCTTCAGACTACACGCTGTGTCGAGGATTAAGTCGACGACTATTGCAGGAGACAGATACCTTAGCAGGAAGGCCTTGAAGGAATGGTCGAGGGTCCTCTAGATTTGAAGAGGCCGTAACCCCCTGAACCCCTTAAACGCCTAAACCCCTCTGCAAGAAGACTTGTTGCCTCCACGTCAACTTGCACTGTATATCGTTGTACCTAACCCTATAGGTAGTAGGGTCCTGGCCATAAGCCTGCCTAGGTTTGCCTAACCCGACAAAGGAAGGACGTCTGAGAGTATAAAGGCCGCTTCACCTAGACCCCAATTGAAGGTACTGTTTAGGGGACACCTTGAATGCTTGAATGAACCCACAGCTTCCGCAAAGAGGAGGTGAAGACCTCGCACTTGATCAGGATGCAATAGTCAGTATAGTGCGCGGCCGGAGTTCTATTGAGAGTGAAATCAACTTGGGCTGTCTCTACGTTGCTGCCTGAAAACAGCGGCAGAAGAAAATCTCCGGGTCGGAGGTCGTCAACATCAACCTATTCGGGCTGTAATGAAGGCTTGTGGGATTCTAGGAGGATCCACCTGCGACCTCAACCCCCCAAAAACACCCGGAACTGAGCCCCGAACCCTATCAATCCGGCAGGTCGCCAAGATCGCAGCCGTGTTGCGGCGAAACCTTCGAAAAAAAGCACGGAGGGAGGGAGAAGCCATCCTGAAATGCCTGGTGCAGGACTTTGGGTTTAGGGTTTAGGGTGTAGGGTTTAGGGTTTAGGGTTTTAGGGGGTTAGGGTTTGAGGCGCAAAGTCGAGCCCCAACCCCTAGCCTTTATATTCTACAAGGACCTTACTGTAGACCCTACATCCCAAACTCAAAGCCCTACACCCTATCAAGGTACTTCTTTGTAGGCTCCTACTGTAGACCCTCACATAGAATGTATAGGGACCCTACGAAAACAGTAGGTTTTGGTTGTCCCACCTAAACTCATTTCACTGGTCATGCGGTTGAAGCCTGAAAACTCTAAGGCGGCATCAGGGACTCGAAGCTCCAATGCAGCATCAATGTTCATTTCTGGGCTGGAGGTGTATATGTTGGAAGGGCCGGTTAAGGGTTTAGAGGTTAGGGCTAGGGCATTAGATTTAGGGCCTGTACAGTTTACAGGGTTTAAAAGTTTTAGGGTTGGTGCGACAGGGGAGTTGGGACGTTTAAAGTGCAGCATCGGGTTCCGAAAGGTGTCCGAGTGGTATCATCTGGCTGCACACTAAGCCCTAAGCACTCTGGCTGCTTTAGCTAAACAACTAGAATTCAGCAATCTGGGAGTTCATGCATGTAATTACCCTAAGGGTCCAAAGGACCCAATAATCAGGTACCTTGGGTTGCGGATAGTAGTTATCTAGGTTAATAGTTGGGAGAGTATATGACTATTAGGTACTTGGACCCTTAGGGTTATGGTGAAGTGTTGGAGCCTCTGTCGTTCTGGAGCTCGCTCATAGCTTGAGTTTTTTTTTGCAGTGCCTCAATTCTCGAACCTCTCGAACGTGTATCCTAAACCCCAAACCCTAAACCCTAGAAAGGAGCGCTTAAAAGAAACAAAAACCTGAACCCTAAACCCTAAAAAGGAGCGCTTAAAAGAAACAACAACCTAAGCCCTAAACCTTAAAAAGGAGCGCTTAAAAGAAACAAAAACCTAAACCCTAAACCCTAAAACCCTAAAGCCCATCCAGGAGTACCGCGGTCACAGCAAGGCAAGCTGGCGTCCCTGGCTGCTCTTACTGCTCCATGCGGGCGCGCTGGCCTGCACGAGGGGAGATCCGGTCTTTTTTGCTTTGGGCGTTGTTCTCGGCTGCTGCTGCTACTACTACTACTACTACTACTACTACTATTACTACAAATATAATAATAATAATAATAATACTAATCATAATAATAATAATAATAAATAATAATAATAATAATTATTATTATTATAATAATTACCTGGACCCTCCTTTGTTACACTTATTTCCGTACGGGGTTTTGGGGGTGTACGGATTTACCGCCCCAGGCCTATATAAGGACCGAAAGCGCACGAATGCACAAGAAAGCGCACAAGAATTCCCTGGAATAACCCAGAAGCGCCCGATACATGCAGCTTGCACACACATGCAGGCACACCGACCCACACACACACACACACATCTTTCCCGCCGTCTTCTCGGCCGATCGCATCTCAGCTGAACATTGAGCGGATTCGCCCATATTGCAGCAAGGCCATAGACAGGGTACGATGGGGTGTCGTACGACTATGGGTTCTTCGAGAGAGGCGTGCACATCGCCCCACAAAGTCTTCATCCGACCAGCAAGCTGCACCTCATGAGGTGCCGGTAGATCGATCTGAAAAAATGTGTGTAGACCTCGATGCACGATACATGCATATATGCAGATAAGAGGCTGAGCGGATTGAAAATGTACTGTGCATTGCGATCCACTTGGTGCTTCATGTTCAGCCTCCGAAGATGGTGAGATGCTAGCTCGATATTGTACTGCACGGAATGCTTTTAATTTAGCCCTGGCACACAATGTGGAGTTGCATGTGTGCTTTCGGTCGCACACGGTAGAGAGGATAGCCCATTTCGGCGCAGTGGGCGGCTAGTTGTCCATAGCCTTCCTGGGTTCCCCATTTATAGCCGAATCTCGACAACAACTGCCCTAGATTGCAGCCTAGGATCCATCATACGGAATCCTGCATCTATCAAAGGCAGCGCGTCGTACCGGGGGATCCAAAGGCCGTACTGGTACAGGCCTCTCCAAAAAGAGTTGACAGCCTCTAAAGTCCACCGGAGCAGCTTGAAGATGTTCAGGAAGCTCGCATCCTAAGTAGGGGTATGGGGGCAGAAGTGTTCAAACGAGTAGTGCTTGGGCTTAATGGGTTTGTAGGCACTTAACAGCCCTAGGGTCTAAATATGATAAGGTGTAGGGCTATAGTAGACCCAGGGACAATAGCGGATTCATCGTACCCCCGAACTTCATCCTGGAGCCATGCTCCAAGAACGGCGGCATCATGCCCTTTGCCGCAGCCCGTCGGAAATTGCTTTTTCAGCCTGCAGGGAGCCGGGGACATCTAGATCAGTTGTAGTCTAGGGCTGGTGGTATTGGGGTTTGTAGGGTGCACACGTTATGTGTATATATATATATACATATAATCGATGTATATGCGTACTTTGTTGTGTTGGCAAATGTATATGTGTATATCTATATATGTACGGTGTGGGATGGCTACTTGCAAACAAGTAACTTTTTGACCTTGAAGGTCTTCTTTGAGAAACCGGTCATGCTGGTGGTTTTGTTGCACTGTCCGCACCACATCTTGAATTTACAGAAAGCTCGGTCAAGGCTTGTTTGTAGCCTGCATTGTCCAAAGCAACCCGCGTAAGCCAGTAACATTACGGAAGAGGCACCGAAGTCTTTGCCCCAGCCGGTGATCGCATATGTGTGCGCCGGATCAGGCTGCACAAATCGCGCGTTGTTGCATGAGGGGAGGTCCCGTAGAGGTGAATATTTCTGCGGCTTGAAAGGGTCACTGATTTCTGCATCATAATGCATGGCTCGGGTGGTGCTTGTAGGACCAAAGTCGTACCAGTCCTGTCAAATCACTCGGACCCTACAGGTATTAGTATCAGCCCTACATATAAACAATTATTATACAAAAGATCTATCTACATAATATATATATATATATATAAATCTATATGTTAACACTATTATATATAATATAGCTATGTATACATATTTATAACCCTATTATACAGCTACGTAGAACCTAAATCCCTAAATTCAAACAACATCTTCGATCTAGGACCCGGATTCCACCTCTCCCTCACACAGGTGACATTTGCGGCTGCAGTTGTAGCCTGTATTCAAATGCATCGATGCCCTCAAAAAGGGCCAATCGCCTTTCAGCATGACCGGTACCAGGCGTAGGGTGCGACTTTTGCCGGCAACTGTGACCTTGTCGATTAGCTCAACTCCACCTAGCAACTTGTTTGCTCGTACTCTAGCTAGCTAGTCGATCCGTTCATATGACAGCAAATAAGTGGAGCCAGGCAGCTTCAATGCCATCATAGTATAAAGTCCGCATATCCCGAACCATTGCCTCGTGCAGCTTGTCGATGGTGTTCGAGGCATACAGCTCTGATGGAACGACGGTGTACAAAAGCCGAGATGTGAAGCTGTGCCTGGGCTGAGGAATCAGTTGGATTGGGAGTTGGGGTTGTTAGGGATTTGGGGTTTAGGGTTTTAGGTTTTAGGGTTTAGGCTTTAATACAAGACGGTCTAGATCGAAATTAAATTAAGACAGGGGACCCACTCATGTTTGTGTAGTCTGAGCCTTTGTAGCTAATCAGAGGCTGGTATGAAATGATCATCAGCGGACGACGAAGCTTGCCTCTGCCCTCGTCCCCGTGCAGTGCTATCGGCAAGCATAATGATCGATCGAAGCTCTGCTTGTACAAATCAAGGTCGGGCCTGAAGAACCTAAATCTAGTCCAGAATTCTGCAAACATGGGCCGGTATTTGTCCTCTTCATGAAGTGAAAACCCACCCAATAGCATCTTCCCCTGAGCAGCTCGATCATCAGAGAAAACCTGCCGACACCAGGAAGAAAGAAACAGAACCGGGAAGTTGACGTTGGTCTTTCGACGTTGGCCAGGAATCCGTACAGGCGTTGAAACTTCGGAAACACGGACTGGTAGTGTACGGCCCTGGCGGTGCATGAGGCGGTGTAGGGCACGACATTC